CGGGGCCTGGGGACGGCCTAGGAAGACCGGCTGTCTGGCCTAGCGGAGCACCTGCACGAGGCACCTGCTGGCACTTGTATCGAGTCATCCGCCTCCCACCGGGCAGATATCCTTGCCGATTTCCAGCCCAGGGCTGCGGACACTCAGCAGATTCTCAACAAGTGGCTGTGCCCCAGCAGCTCCTCCCTGCAGGGAGGCGACCGAGGCTCAGAGCGGTCGCGCCCCCCTCGCTCCCCCTGTTGACGCAGACTGCCCGGAGCTGACTCGGAGCACCCGGGTCGCACAGACACTGCCCCAGCGCCTGAGCGGCTGCGGGCGGGGCGGGGCCATCTCCCGGGGGGGCGGAGCCACGCTCTGCCTCGCCGGATTGGCCGGACCTCTCCGGGCCCCGCTATCCTGGGCCGGCGGGGCCCTGGGCGCCCACGGTGGGCCCAGGACAGGCGTCTCAGCCTCAGGGGTGGGGCGACCTCGGGGTCCGCACCCACTGGCTCTGCTTCCTGGTCGGTACTTCAGTCCCTGGTCCTGAGCGCACCGTCGTGGGGTCGGTGAGGCAGGCTGCTCTGGTTTCTTCTGCCGTCTTCAGTGCCAAGCCACCTTTCTGCAGGCCCCTGGGGTGGAGGGCGGGTTCCAGCGTAATGCGGAGGGTCTTCTGTCTGCCCCTGACCCCTGTGCCCCTCAGTCCTACACCCCCACTTGTGGAACTGCGCTGCCCGGGCAGAGACCTCTGTCCTCCTGGAACGTCAGTCACTTGCCTGGCCAAGGAGATTGCACTGTGACCAAGGGTCCCCAGGGAGTCTGCCACCACTGGGCAGGTCTCTCCTCTGCGGCTCCCTGAAGCCACCCGCAGGACGCTCCTCCCACTGTGTTGTGCACAGGAGGGCCGAATTTGCTGCTGTCCTCATTCATGGCAGTGCCAGACACCAAGTCCCCACACCAGCAGTGGGTCCAGCTCTCTTCCCTTGGCATTTGAGGGGCTGTTGTGCCTCCTCCTCGTGGAATGACAGTGACATTATGTGACTCCCAGGCCAGCTCAGCAACGCCCACTGTCTAGAGGCTCGTTCTCAGGACTCAGCCACTTCCCCACCCAGAGATGGACAGGCCTCCTGCCTGGCGGAGAAGGCCCGAGTCATGCCCACTGGTGGCAGTGACGGTGTTTGGAAGAAGGGTTTTTCTGAATGTGTCATAAAGCTATCAACTTTTATTATTTATTTTTAAGGAACTTTTTTTGGAGAGGTTTTTGCTATAGGGCGTGTGCACTCACAAGAAAGAGAGAGACAGAGAGACAGAAAGTGAGAAATCACCCCCCGGGGGGATGGCCACACCGCAATCTCTTCTCCTCTGTCCTCCTCTCGGGATCTTAGGCACACACGCACACGCGCCTGGCATGAGTTTAGGCCACCACGTCCAGGACTCGAACTGTGGTCGACTACATGGGAGTCCAGTGACATAGCCATTATGCTAACTGCTGGTCCCAAGGAACTTTTTCCACATTTGTTTGTTGTGATTTTCAAGCCACTGGATCCAGGACTTGAGTTGCACTCAGCCATGTAGGAATCCCCTTGCCACCTGCCGTCCCTAAGAACACTTCATTATAGAATATATAAAACAAACAACATTTTCTTTGTGAGCTGCGAATGGGCTCGCTATGTGCCCCTCCCACCCGGGGGTTGTCCATGCAGCAATCCCTTCTCCCTTCTCTCAGGATTTGGAGCACACATACACACATGGCCAGCGTGAGGTTTTTTAAAAAATATTTAACTTTGTTATTCTTAGTTTTATTTTGATCAGAGAGAGAATCAGAGAGAGTGAAGATGAGAACGCGAGCCACCAGGTCTGGGACTTAAACTGTGGTCAGTAACGTGGGAGTCCAGCACCCTACCACCACACACTTTCTGGTCCCTGGCTTGAGTTTTAAGCTGCTGGGTCTGGGATTTGAACCACAGTTGACTAAATGGGAGTCTAGCAATATAACTATTATACCATCTGCTGGTCCCCAAAATAAATATAACTTTGTTATATTATACTAGAACACTATACATTTTACTATACTAATAACACTATACATTGTAACTGATAGTGTTATTCAGCCTGCTCAAATTCGCAGGAATAGCTTATGCAATTCTTGGAATTTATCCACCTTCTGCATAAAGATGTAAGATTGAAATGTATGTATTATTGTTAGGAATATATACATTTTCACTCCCCTCCCTTTATTGATAATCTCAGCATTTTTATTTTTAGAGACAGGGTGGTCCCTGTCACCAGGCTTAATGAGAACTCTTGTCACTCAGCCTCCTGCGTAGCTGGAATAGGCCTGTGTCAGCATGCCAGCTGGTCAAGTTTTTTTTTTTTTTGAGTTTTGCTATAGGGTGCATGTACTCACCATGGGGAGAGAAAGAGAAAGGCAAAGCGAGAACTCACCCCCCAGAGGGGATGTCCACACCACAGTCCCTTCTCCATTCTCCTCCTGGGACTCTGGGCATGCACATACATGCACCTGCTGGTCTCCCGTCACGGGTCTGGGACTCGCACTCTGGCCTGGCTACGTGGGGTGGTCGCCTTGACCATGTCATTGCTGGCCTCGGAGCTATTCCTGGGTACTCAGGTTACTGTGGATGAGGGTGGCTGGCGTCCTTGTGAGAGAGAGTCAGACACGGATGCAGGGGAGAAGGCTGTGGAGATGGAGGCAGAGTGAGGTGTCACCGACAGAGTACCAAGGACTTCCAGGGCTACTGGAGGCTGGAGAGCGAAGAGTCCCACCCTCCGGCGTAAGGGGGCATAACCTTGTTGATGCCCAGATTTCTGATTTCTGGCCAGTAGAACTCTGAGCAGAAGTTTCTGTTGTTTTAAACCACCCACTCCGTGGCATTTCACTAGGGCAGCCACAGGGCATGCACAGGCCTTGTGTGGTCACAGCCCCAGCAGTTCCCAGCTGAGAGCCAGCATCAATCACAGCGGGCAGACTTCCAGGGGAGCTCAACCCCTGGTCACTGGGTCACACCAGCCTGGAAGCTGTCCTACCTGATGGGAGAGAGGCCACAGACACGCCCCCGGGCCGCTGCTGGCCGGAAGACTCATATTGGGCGGGGTCTGTTGCGCAGCGCTAACGAGAGGCTGTCTGTGTGGGCGGGGTTTGTTGCGCAGCGCTAACTCCCAGGACGGACGGAGTCGTCTACACGCACTTCCTTTCATGGACCTGGGACTAAAGCAGGAGCCCACGTGCCAGGCCAGAGGTCACCTATACTCAGCCAGGCCAGGCCCACTGCCCAGCCAGCCCACAGCCGCACAAGGACCAGGGCTAGCGTTGCCCGGCTTCTCAGTCAGCACACTCTGCTGGACATAGATCTTGCTGTGGTTTTTAAGAAAGAGGTTTTTGCTGTAGGGCACGTGCACTTGCCAGAGAGAGACAGAGACAGAAAATGAGAAATCACCTCCAGGGGGCGTGGCCGTGCCACAATCCCTTCTCCTCTCAGGATCTTGGGCACACACACACGTGTGCCTGGCGTGCGTTTGAAGTTACTGGGGCCAGGCCTCGAACTGCGGTTGGCCATGTGGGAGTCCAGCGATGTAACCATTATACAATCTGCTGGCTCCAGACCTGGCCGTTTTCTGTTTATTTTTGTTATGACTTTACAGACCTCTCGGGCTGGCTGGCCGCCTGACTGTCCTCTATAAGCCCACTACGGCCTTTCTAACTGGAGCTTCTGCCTTTCCCTTATGGACCCCAGGGTTTCCACTGGGGAGACATCTTTATTCATTCCTGTTTTCTGGAAGAGCCGCAGGATCACAGAGGCTCAGGGGCAACCCTGAAGCCACATGGCAAGAAGCAGGGCACAGGGGCCAGCAGGTGGCACGGAGGTTAAGCTCTGGACCCACATGGGGTTGGCTGCAGTTTGAGTCATAGACCTGGCAGCTTGCTTCCAGCGAGTGTGTGTGCCTATAGCAAATTTTAAAATAATAATGATGATAAATAAAATGAAATACTTCTAACAAAAAAAAAAGAGCTGAACACAGACCTGCCCAGTCCCACTGCCAAGGAGACAGCTGGGCCAGCATGTCACCAGCCCACAACTCACTTGGCACCAGGTATGGAAGCAAGGCCAACAGATGCTCCCAGCACAAGGGTTCCCAAAGATCCGCTCAATGCCACGAAGCCCTGAGAATCTTCTAGACATCAAAGCTGAGACCTGGAGGGGACACTGCCTAGAGACTAGCTCTGGACCACCGGGCAGGGAACTGCCTCACAAGAGCAGACTTCCCACTGGAGGTGAGCCTCCTGGAGGGGACAGGGTTTGGGTCTCTTGGCAGAGAGCAGGACAGAGGACTAAAGCTTTATGTACAAGCGAGGCCAGACCCCAGCACGGTCTGTCTGGGCTCCTGGATGAGGCGCTAGAGGACAAGGTATTGCTGAGTCAAGAGAGCCCCTGTGGAGACTCCTGCCAGAGGACAGCTGCCCCAGTCCTGGGGTCATTCTCAGGCACCTGCGGGACTATTCACAGGCTGTCCCCCTGAGTCTGCCTACTGGGCTTGAGGCTGCCTCTGGTGGGAGTAACCAGAGGTTTGACATGGCCCCTTACGAATGAGCGTGGCTGTCCTGTTCAGGACCGCCCTACCCCAGGGAGCCCCAATACTGTCTCCATGGCAGTTGCTAGGGGATTGAGGGGCCCCCACAGTGCTGTGCCACCTGCCTCCCTGACAGGCACTACCCCATCCGGCCAGTCACACGTGTCCCCAGTACGGGACACATTGGCTCCCAAGAGGGCTTCAGGGAACATTCTGGGCTCAGGGTCTCAGTGATGACCTCTAACCCTGACTGTCCCAACGCACTGACACCCTCCGCAGCAGTCCTGTCCCGAGGGTGTGGCCTTGGGGCAGCCTCTCCTGTCCTGTGGGTGTAGAGAGGGTGGGCCTGGCTCGGCTGTGGCTGTGGTTCCTGACCATCGGGCCTCAGTGGCCCTCATGGTGGCCAGCAGAGGGGGTGGCCGGGTGCCTGGAGCCCAGCGCCAGTAGCGAGGCCTCTGCCCGGGGTGGGGATAAGGACTGAGTGAGCCACACTGAGCCTCAGCAGTGACCTCTTTATTTCTGGCCAGCTGATGGCCACATGTGGACATGTGACAGGTAGGTGCTGGCCCTCAGGCTCACACGGACCTGGGAGAGGGAGTACAGGGGTAGGAGTTGGCCAGGGGTCTCGGAATGCCCACCGCCCACCACCCAGGTGAGCTGGGGCAGAGGTGCCCGGCCAGCAGGGACTTACTGCCCCAGAGTAAGCAGCACAGTCTCGGACCCCCACGGGGAGGGGTCGGCAGGTTCTCGTTCTGGGCTCCAAGAAACTGGCTCAGAAGAGCTCCAACAGTCCCAGGGGACGGAGGTGCAGTGACCCCAGACAACCCAGGTCGCCTGTGTCCATGAAGGTGGGACGTGCCAGGGCCAGCCAGATGCCCATGTCCGAGCTGCACAGCCACTGGGGAGGACCTGTCGGTGCAGCCCGGGGGCACCTCGGCCAGGCTCCCTTTACGGGGCCTCTCTGAGCTGTGCAGGATCGGGGCCCATGGAAGTGATGTGGCCTAGCCCGCGGGAGGAGAGGCTCAGGAGCAGGCTGTGGCCTGCAGCCAGTCTCCCTCAGGGGCCCGCCATGTGTGCAGGGCCGGGCGGGCTCCTCCAGTCCTCAGTGGGTTCCGTGGTTCCCAGGTGCAGGAGGGACGCTTCGGGAACTGGGCCCTGAGCCCCACTCCTTGCCCAGGGCCCCACGGGGCAGCAGCTCCACGTAGCTGAGGGCACTCTGCAGTGACGTTAGGCAGTAGCCCTCCTCCCCAATCAGGTACCTGTGTAGGCCAGAGCCACGCGGTGCGTCACTGCAGGGATGAGGCCATGGCAGCACTCTGCCACCGCTGTCCAGGCCTAGGGACGAAGCCCTGGCTGGCGAGGCCGCCCCGCCCCCCCGCCAGCGGGCCCCTACCCCTCGTGGATGAATTCTTCCAGGGCTGCACACTCGGACACCAGCTGGGGGAGGTCGCTCCTCAGCACCACGAAGGACAGGATGGGCAGCAGGTCGTCAGCTCCACTGCAGGCAGCACGAGGGGGTGGCCGGGGGCGCCAGGCCAGGGGGGTGCTCGTCCCCAAACCCAGCAGCCCCTGGCAAGGTCTCGCCTTTGCTGGCAGGCCTCCCTGTGCCCTGGGGTCACTGGCGAGCAGCGGATCCCTGGGTGTGGCGAGGCTGCAGAGCCTGCGTGGCACCCACCCTATAGGACATGAGCCCCCAGGGCCACAGCCCAGCAGCATGTGGACAGGCAGGCTGGAGACTGGGGTCTGGACGGACCTGCTCCACAGATGCTATTGGGGCAGTGGCTGGGACCTGCCATCCTCTCAGTGGCACCTGGAGCTACAGGGACCCGCTCCAGACACTGACCTGTAAAACGCCTGGAGGCGGCCAGCCCTGGTGCCTCCCAGCAGACCCTGGAGGTGGTGGGAAGCCCTGCTGACCTCACACCCAGCCCTGCCTCCCACCTGCCCATCCCACAGGCCCGGAAGCAGGGCAGGCGCAGAGCTGAGAGGCCCGTAGCTCCAGGTGGACGCTGAAGCCAGGTCAGGAGGTGGCCGGCCACAGGCGAGGCCTCAGAAGACGGGTGGGAGACCCCAAACCCAGGACACCACAGTCAAGACCCCTGCGGAGGTCAGTGTGGGGGCGCGCCCTGGCCCAGGCCTGGCTGGCTGGCGGCATAGGGCCTACAACACCCTGTGTACAACATGCAGCCACCCAGCCAGGGGCGGGCCCTGCTCGCTAAGAGGCCCTGGCCCTGCCCTGTGCTCTCTGCAGAAGCCCGTGGGGAAGTGGGTGGGGGCCTTCTCAGCGGGAGGCCTGGTCCCAGGACCCCCCCCTCCAAGGGCTGGCCCAGCGCCCTCCCTGGCACCCCAGCCCCTGCCCTCGTGGGACTCACATGGCAGCAGCAGCAGCGGGCTGGGGCCCGGCCTCAGGCGCGGCCTCCCGTGCGTGACAGTAGCTCTCCGCGCAGGCGCAGATGACCCGCAGGGCCCTCACTGCGGGGACGCACGGCTCAGTGGGGGTGGGATGGGGTGGCAGGAGGGCCGGCAGAGGCAGGAGGCCATGAGGCCACACGCCACCCCCAGCCCAGGACCAGCACAGCTCCCACCCGCCTGCCCCTATGGGCAGGGCTGGACGAGCTGGGAACCCCCACCCCACACGGGGGAGGCAGGGTGCTGTGGCTTCAGGTGAAGGCGCACCTCCAGTTCCTGGCTAGGGCAGGGCCTGGCCTGTCTGATGACCTGCCCTGCTGCCGGCCCTCCCAGCCTCTCACCAATACACTCCAGCTTCTTCTGCGGGCAGGTCTCCAGCACCAGCAGGCCCAGCTCCTGGGCTGCCGTGCAGTAGGGGTAGGGGGTGGCGCGCCCAGCCTCGGGGTGCTGGGGAAGGAGCGTGGCGGGGATGCCGATGGCTGTCGGGGTTGCGTTCCTGTAGAGCGCCATGCTTCTGCTCAGCGCTGCCTCCCGGCCACGGTGCACACTCCTGGGCCAGAAAAGGCCAGGCTCAGCCGGCGGCCCTGCTCCAGGACTGAGGCAGCGCTGCACTGGCTCCTGGGGCTCCGTCCTGAGAAGGCTGGGCCCGAGCACAGCTCAGCGCTGACGGGTCCAGAGCCCAGCAGACCCCAGAGGGCGAGCCCGGCATAGGCCTCAGAACTACAGCACAGCCAGGGCAGAAGCTCCTCGGCAGTCGGGCAGGGCAGGGCATGGCAGGGCAGGCCGCGGCAGGCCCGGCCTGTGGGGGCCTGGGCAGGAGACCCCAGGCCCTCGGGGTGGGGCTGGGGCCGTACCGGTACAGGGCCAGCAGCAGGGGCCACAGTGGGGAGAAGAAGGCCTCCTCGATGCAGGCCAGGCAGCGGTCCTTGGAGGCAGCGGTGTTCAGGCTTTCGAAGGCCAGGAGCGTCAGGGAGAGCAGCCTATCTGCTGGGAGCAGAGCGAGCATGTCTCGAGGGCCCTCGCCTGCCCATTCTCAAGGCTCTAAGCCCAGAGCCTGGCAGCCCCTGTCCTCTGAGCCAGTCTCTGTGCAGTGCCCAGGTGTGTCCAGGCCGAACAGGAGGGGCTCCCTCTGACCTTCCTCCACCGGCCTTCAAGCCCCTAGCCTATCCCCGCCTGCCTGTGGCCTGTGCTCAGGGCAGGGAGCTTGTGACTGAAGTCCAGATCTTCACCCTCCCTGGGAGGCCGGTGAGGACACAGCCGCCGTCTGAGGGAGCCCAGACTCATGGGACAGTCCTAGCAGGCGAGGCACCACAGCAGGGCGGGCCTGGCTGCCACCCCACCCTAGGCCTAGGCTGAGCCTCAGGGCCAGAGGAGCCCGCCGTGGGCGCGGCAGCTCACCGATGGCGTTGTGCACGTCCTTCACGACGCCCTTCAGCTGCTCGGGCAGAGGCGCGCTCCTCTGGCTCCCGGGAGTCGGGGGCTGAGGCTCAGGCAGCCTGCCAGGGCCATGGCTCCACGGCTCGGACGCAGCCAACAGCTGTTCTAGGTCTTCAAAAGAGCTGTCGCGGTCCGGCAGGCGGGGAGGGGAGTCCGCCGTGGGGGAGGGTGGCCCCGCCAGGCTGATGCAGTAGAGGCTCTGTGAGGGCCGGAGCCCCCGACTCCCAGGAGCCAGCAGCCCGTCAGCATCGGGGGGCAGAGAGCAGCAGCCAGGGGCAGGAGCAGGGTCCGGGGCACCCCTGCTCACAAGGGGGTACAGCGCGCCGTACACCACACACTGGAGCCGCTTCAGGAGCTGTGCGATCGGGTGGTCAGGAAGGCTGCAAGAAGAGGGGCCGGCTGGCAGGAGGAGGTCGTGTCCCATCCCACTCCTGATGCCACTGGCCTTGCTGGAAGGCCTGCAGGCCGAGGAGACAGCTGGTCATCGACCTCACCCGGCCTCGCCCTCGTCTGGGGCTCCCACCTGCTGCTAAGGCTGCTGTGCTGAGACAGGCTTCAGGTGCGTCCCCCGGGATGTGGCACCCAGGCCGACTCTCCCCAGGTGGAGAGGCCCCACGCCCGCCCACCCCCCGGGCCGGGGCCAGCCAGTGGGCATCGGCACCACCAGCCTGAGGGAGCCTGGTGCAGCCGTCCCCATGCCACGCCATCCAGCGACCAGGCGTGGGGCTCTGCCATGCCAAACAGGGTTGGGGCTGTGGGCCCCCGTACCTGAGCAGGTGGGAGACCAGGCTGGTCACCAGCAACAGATCTCCAGGGTTCTTCTTGAGCTTGGCCCTCCACTGCCTCGGCCAGTCCTGCAGATGAGGAGCCTTGGAGGAATGTGGCAGTGGCCCCACCTAGGACACGC